GGGAGAAAAACGAGCTACCTGCAGATTTTAGGCATGCTAGCCCTGTTGGACCATTATTAGACCTTCAGTGTGCCTCAATAATCTAGTGAATTATCTGTACTCTGTGCATTGCATTGCATTGGGTGCACCTGTTTGGCTCTTGGTGTGCTTGTGGCCTATCCTATGAGTAGTATGCACGGGGAAAAGAAGAAGAAATGAAGGGAGCTGTTAGATAGTGAAGAAACGAGCAAGCCCCCTACAACTATGGTGTGCGTCTGCCGCTGCCGCTGCCGCTAAGGGTCTGTTTGGATCTATTAGTATAAAAAATTAGCAGCTAAAATTAGTACTAGTGCATCTAAATAGACCTGCTAATTATTAGCTGAAGGGCTGCTAACTATTAGTTACATTAGCAGGTTCAGAGTCGCTAATAGTTGTTAATAGTTAATATGCATCTTCAACTTGCAATCTAACCACCTATTAGTAGGTGAATCCAAAATAGCAACTATTCACTATCTAATTTTTTAGTGTTAATGGATTTAAAAAGGCCCTAAATCTATTAGTACCAAAGGAGGTGTATACTTAATCTTGTGCAACATGCAAGCTAGAGGTAGCTAACAGATTTCCTCCGACCAACAAACTCGTTCTGAAATTTCTATCTTTGACACATAGACGCCAGTTCTACGCACGCCGAGAAAGACCGCTACAAGTGAAACAAGGCTTGCGATTACTTTATTTTTTAGTGACCGTGAAGTGTTTAGACGTCTATAGTTTTCATTGACTTTGAGATATGTACCTCACTAGTATTTTGGAGATGCTCATATAGATAAGGTTTTCGTAGAATGTATAAGTATCCATATATGCCAGCGGATATCTGTGTAACTCGGGGGGGGGACGAGCTACCTGATTTTAGGGATGCGCCCTCTTGGACCTTTAGCGGCGTACCCCAATAATCTAGTGAATTATCTGTACCGTGTAATTTGAGGGGGGAGAGAGAGAGAGAGAACTATCTGGCTTTAGGCACGCGCATGCTAGAGTCCTCTTGGACCATGTGACGGTCTGCACCATAGTACTGTTTGGTTCTGCATTTTTTGCCCGTCAGCTCGCCGGGGAGAGGGAGCGCCCGCCGGAGCTCGCCAGCTCGCGGTGCTAGGGGCGCGGCGGGGTTGACGGGTCGGGGCGGCCTCGCTCGCCGGTGCTGGTGCCAGGCCGCTGCACAGCGAATGCGCGAGGCGAACTCCAGGCAGGCCACCACGCGACGGACGGGTCGGGGCGGGGCATGGGGCGAGAGGAGAGAGCGAGGGAGGAGAGAGATAAAGAAGGGGGTGGGGACCAGCAACAAATGAAGAGCATGGGGTGTCAATTTAGCCCTCAAGGCACTTATATATTTTAGTCTCTAGTCCTTATTTTAGTCCCTCATGTTTTATCAAATGGACTAGAAGAAACTAAAATTTAGTCTTTGGTCTCTCCTCTCACGGAAACGAACATGCCCCTACTATCTGTATCTGCAGCAGATAGATATGACTTGGAAGCAAACAAATTCAAAGCAATCATCAGGCGGACCCACGTGGCTAATGATTCAGTGTACCCGGAAAACATGGCCTTGGACCGTCCGGGGGACTTTGATCTAGGCCACGTTTAGTTCCTTGCAAAGTTGGCGCCGACTGAATTCTGGATACACTGTAGCGTACTGTAGCGTTTTGTTTTTATTTGGTAATAATTATCCAATTGTTGACTAATTAGACTCAAAACGTTCGTCTCGTAAAGTACAATCAAACTGTGCAATTAGTTTTTGATTTCGTCAACATTTAGTACTCCATGCATATATCGCAAATTTGATGTGACGGGAAATCTTCTTTTTGCATAGTGTCAAAGTTTGGAATCGGTGGGAACTAAACAAGCCCCTATTCCCAAATGTCCTCCCCTTTTTGGCCTATGCTATGGGAGCTGTGGCATACTGTACACACTGTCACTCTGCATAGCAGCCGTAGCCTCCACCTCCACACTAGCGCATCCATCCTACTGCTTCTGAACAGATCCTCGCGGAAACGGAAAGTCCTTGCGAGTTCAGAGTGTCAGACCAACAGCAAGGAGCCACCAGGGCCGGCTCTACAATTTTAAGGGCCCTTGACAACCAAGAAGATAAGACCCGTTGAACTATGTAAATATCAAATAATAAAAGTTAATTTGCAGCATATACTTAGTTTGTATAAAAGGTAACAATAGTACAACAAGAAAATTAAAAGAACAATAATTGTTATGATTACCTTAAATAAAAATATAATGCTTCAGTGCCTTGTAAAAAACAGTCTTTAGTCATTTAATGATGTAAAATCTTTAAGAACAATATAAACATCAATGTGGTCCAAAACATTATTTCCAATATTTTACTTTTGTGAGCACCTGACAAATGCTTCTTAGGCAGCATCTAATAAGTATCTAAATAAATACATTGAATTAGAACTTTATAACCCTACCTCTATACAAGTAAAGCGCATACACAAAACAATTAAACAAATAAGAAAAAATAGGCTTCAGTACTGTAATGTCCCTGGCGCTAGCCTCCAGAAGTCCAAGTAAAAAATTAGAAATTGGAAAATACTAATCGGTCATGGGTATTGGCGCGTTGGGGTTGCTTACTGTGATCGCATCCGCTGTTCGCCGTCCTTGCATGCAGTTGCAGCTCGCGCCGTCGCGGCACCACGGCGGTGTGCCGGTGTGCGGTGCGTCGGTGAGCCGGCGACCACTTCGGGTGAGTCGGCGTCTCCATGCAAGAATAGCGCATCCACGTCGATGAGCAAGAACAGGAAGCGCCGGTGCCGGCGGAAAACGAACGCTAGCTCCTCGCTTGATCCGCGGCCTGCGCGGCAGAATAGAAATAGGTAGGTATGGTACGGCATGGGCTAATGTTTGTTCGGCCTTTGAAAGCTTATGCCAAATAAGAAATTATATCTACTGATTACCAATATGCTCTTGGGCCCCGTAGCTCCTTGGCCCCCCGGCGGTCGCACCGGCTGCCCTCCCCCTAGAGCCTGGCCTGGGAGCCACAAGAGTCAACAAGGCAGCAGCAAAGCAAACAACAGACAGATCCCAGGTTCATGACGGCAGTGGCACGCCACGAAGCAGAAGCACAGGGCTCTCCCTCCGGACGGAAATCCCCACTAGTTTAAGCCCCGTTTCGAGGCGTCCTCTCCTCCCCTGCTGGTGCCGCGTGAAATTCCTGTACAGTTTCCGTAAGGTTCCTGCATTCTAAATGGGTCATTAGTACAAATCCATGGCGCGGCATGTCGACTGATCCGGAGATCGGACAAATCCGTGGCGTGATCATGGGTGTTGTTTGTGGCCCAGAGCGGCGGTCCCAGCGAGCGAGTGATTGGGCGCCCTGATACGGGAGCAGCAGCGCGTGAGGACTGAGGAGGAATCCACAGCGGGGGCGGAATGGATCCGCCATGCTCGACAAGCAGTACCGAATCTCAAGCAAGCGCTCGCTGCTGCGCCTGCCTGCCGGATCATGTATCTCATCATACAAAAAGGGCAGCCGTACTTAGCAGCAGCAGTGGACACCGGTTAGTCCACTAAGATAAGATGCATTCAGATCCTAAACTAATGGCGTCCTGCGGTACCTGAGATGAAGCAAAGCGAGTCAAATAGTCAATCAAGGCTCAAAAGTCCAGATCGACCTTTGTATTGTTTGCTGCATCACCCTGGATGGATTCTGCTGCTGCAAAGGTCTCCTTTTTCCACTAAACTGAGGCGGTTTGGGACCATTGCTGCTGCTGTGGGTCATACGGTACTGTAACTGTACCAGTGGAGGATGGAGGGGTTTTACAGCTTACTGTACATTCTTCCGTATTCTAGGAGCATGCCAATTCTTTACCCCCATCAATAACCGCGGCGAGGGGCAGCAGCTGCCTGCACTGCACTGGCCAGGCCTCCTCTTCCGGCAGTGCTGCTGCTAGCTGCTCTCGCTCTCACTCAGCATGGACCACTGCCGTCGCCATCACCACTCACCCGCCATCATCATGGTCGCCACGGCCCAGCTCCTTCGTTGCTGCCAGCCACCATTATCACCACCACCAGCACCATGGACTGGTGGCACCCTGTCCATTGTCCATGCATCCCTCACTGTGTCCGTCTGTGCGTGGAGATACAGGTATCATTCAGTGTCTCTCACACACCAAGGCAGGCAAGCAGGGATAAAGGCCGCGCCGCTATAGTTTTTTTTTTTTTACAACGCTGCATTCCACTCGCTAGCACATGCCAAGGTGTATAGTGGAGAAGAAGCTCTGCCATACCATCCATGCATCATGCATCATGCATTCCGTTTCCATTCCACAGACCACAGCAGCACAAGAAAGGCAGTCACACTCACACAGAGAGACAATAGCCCTGTTTGTTTCCGCTTATAAGCGGCTTGTAGGTGGAAATAAGCGAGAATCCCACCAAACGCTTTGCTTATTTCCACCGATTCTCGCTTATGGGGTAAGCCGTTTCAGAGATTTGAACTACGAGAAGCAAAAAACGAGAAGCGAGAAAATCTTCACTTAGATTATAATCCAAACGTGGACAGGAGAAGTGGAAACAAACGGGCCCAATAGCATGGAATGGCTTAACCTTGTTTTTGCACCTTGTTCATTCATTCTACCATCACCACATGAGCTAGCATCACCTCCTCCTGCTGCATTCAGCTATAGAAGCACCATCATCCCTCTCTTATCACCACTATCATAGTTACTCTACTATACCTACCTTCCAATCCAAGGAAGCTTCTGCTCTCTTTTTTTTGTTCGGAGAAAAGAAAAAAAAAGAGTAAAGGTGGAAAAAAATAGAAAAGAAAAGGGGAAAAAAGGGAAATCTGGGGGGGCGGTTATGGCGGGTGATCGCCTCCCTCCTTCCATCCACGCACGGTGATCGCCTCCGACGGCCTGAGCTCTCCTCCCTCCTTCCGGTTGGCTGCTGCTGGTTCAGTTTTCTCCAGGGAGCATCAGCAGCAGGGCCGCCGGCCGGCGACAGACCTCCTCGCCTCACATGACCGAGCACCCGTTGGGGTTCTCGTCGCTGAATAGGTTGTCGTGCGGGTGACGCTGCGGAGGGATCGCGTAGTAGTACGGCGGCGGGGGCGGGTACTGCGGCATCGGCGGCCGCCCGTACCCGTACCCGTAGCTGCTCGCCGGCGGCGGTGGATGCCCCTGGCCGCCGTGGACATGGCCATGGCCATGGTGGTGGCCGTGCCCGTTCAGCATCATCTGCTGCTGCTGCTGCTGCTGCATGATGGCAGCCATGTGCTGCTGCTGCTGCTGCATCACGGCGGCCATCTGCTGCTGCTGCTGTGGCGGCAGCTGGGACATGGCCAGCATCTCCTGGCCGGCCGGCATGCTGCCGCCCGGAAAGAACCCAGGAGCAGGCATACCGCCAGCCGGCATGCCGTGCGCGGCGCCCCCGCCGCCCGGCTGCATGCCAGCGCCACCCATGTGGGGGTGGCCGCCCATCGCCATGCCGCCAGCAGGCTTGCCGTGAACGCCGCCGGCGCCCGGCTGCAAGCCGGCGCCACCCATGTGGGGGAGGCCCATGGGCATGCCGCCGGCCGGAATGCCGTGCGCGCCACCGCCGCTCTGCTGTATCCCGGCACCACCCATGTGGGGGTGTCCCATCGGCATGCCGCCAAGGGGCCCGCCGCTGCCCATCTGTCCCATGCCGGGGACACCGCCGGCGCCGCCCGCGCCCATCATGTGAGGCGGCCTCATCATCATGCCCGCCGGATGTTGCGAAGGCGCGCCTCCCATCATCATCGGTCCGCCGAGACCGACGCCGCCGGGGCCGCCGCCCTTCTTGCCCTGCCCAGGCAGGTTCCCGCCTCCCGGTGCGCCGCCGCCACCCTTGCCGTTCTGTGGCGGCTGCTGCGCGCCGCCACCGTTCTTGGCCCCGCCACCCTTCTTGCCGCCATTGCCGTTGCCGGCACCCTTCTTGTCGCCACCGCCGGGGACCGGTGGCATGCCCATAGGCCTCGTCATCATGGCGGGGTCGTCGTCGTCGAGGCCGTCGTCCTCGAAATCGACGTCGTCCAATTCGTCGAACTCGTCGCCGAACCCGCTGCTGTCATCGTCCCCGAACTCGTCGCCCCCGGGGAGGTCGAACTTCACTGTCCGGGGGTCCTTGGCCGCCGCGGCCTGCGCCTGCGCCTGCGCCGCTGCCGCCGGGAACGGCATAGGCATCGGCATCTTGCCGGCGCCCATGGGCATGAGCTCCGGCGGAGGGAACTTCATCCCCCTCATCTGCATCATCTGCTGGAGCTGCTGCGGCGTCGGCTGCGGGTGTGGCGGCGGCGCCACCATCTTCGCCTCCTTCGCGCCGCCACCGGTGCCACCACCGCCCGCTCCACCCTTGGGCTGCTTGCCCTGGCCCTGGCCCTTGCCGCCGGCGTCCTTGGCCTGCTGCTGCTGTTGGCCCTTGCCGCCGGCGTCCTTGGGCGGCTGCTGCCGCTGGCCCTTGTCTCCGGCATCCTTGGCCTGCTGCTGGCCCTTCCCCTTCCCACCGCTGCCAAGCTTCAGCTTCTGGAGCTGGACCTCCAAGGGCACGCCAGGCTTCTCCCCCCACACCCGCACCGGCTTCCCGGCCTTCTGGATCTTGTTGATGACGGTCTCCGGGTCCATCAGCCCGGTCACCGTCACCTTACCCAGCGCCGCGTCGACGCTGCTCTGGTACACCCCTGCACGACAAAACCATTCCAGCTCATTTCTCTTAGAACAGAAGAAAACGAGAGGTGAAAAAAAATGTTGTTTTTGGAATGGACAGAGGAAGTGTCCATCGTTTCTGTTATTACGAAGAAGAACAGAGCAGCCTCTCCAGCTGAACTGAAGTACTGAACAGACCCCTGATCTCACTCTCCCCCGGCAGCAGCAGCCAGCAGGGAAGACGAACACAAAAGAACGGAAACAAAAACAAAACAAAAAAAGGAAAGCAATTCGCGGTTTTAAAGATCGTTGTAACTCCAGCAACTTACCATCGATCTTTTGAACAATCTTCTTGACTTTTTTCAGACACCCTTCACAGTGGATGGGAACTTTGAGCTCGAGGGTCTGTGGACAGACAGAGAGAGAGAAAAACGTCAGGGAAGCGGATTAGGAGAAGACAAACATGCAGGGCGAAAGCGAAACGAAACCAAATCACAGCGGGCGCAGAGAAACGACATGGTCATGCATGGAATGCGTGTGAAGGTGAAGTGCTTGAGTTGGGAAGAACTGATCTCAAAAAAAAAAAAAAAAAAGTTGAGAAGAACTGAAGAAGCAAACAAGACAGGCAAGCAGGCAAACAAACTCACCTGAACTTTGAGAATGTCCTGGCGACTCATGCTCGCCAACTTGTCACACTCCGCAGCAGGCTCCAATGGCGCGAGAAGGCTTCAGATCTGGTATATGTGAGAGCAGAGCACTGAAATCAGGGAGGGAGGGGGAGAAGAAAAGGGACGGCGGCATGCGAAGGAAGCATTCCTTCGTCTCCTCGACTCCACTCCACTCTCAGTGGAGACAAGGAGAGAGAGGGAGGAGGAATAGAGGATCGGCTCAAATATAGGCAACTTTCGCAATAAAATACTGTCACTTCACACTCTTCTCACACAAGGAATGAATTGAAAAAAAATCTACTCTCCTAGAGAGAGAACCGAGAAGAGACGCACGAGCACGAGACGAGAGAACCGAGAAGAGACGCACGAGCACGAGACGAGACTTAAGGCCGGTTTAGATTCCAAAAAATTTTATGTAATATCCGTCACATCGAATCTTGCGGCACATGCATGGAGTATTAATGGTAGATAAAAAAAAACTAGTTGCACAGTTGGGTGAGAAATCGCGAGACGAAACTTTTGAACCTAATTAGTCTATAATTAGACACTAATTACCAAATACAAACGAAATGCTACAGTAAACCAAAATCAAAAAATTTTGGATCTAAACGGGGCCTTAACAGCAGGCCAGGCCCTCGCTTGTTTTAGAGTCCGTGTCTGCGGAAAACCAAGGCTGTTAAGCGAGCGCCTGCAGTCAATCGGCACTCGGCAGCGTGGTCCAGGTCCTCCAGGACCAGGAGAGACCCCCCCCAAAAAAAGAAGATGCGAGGTAGTAGGAGGAGGAAGAGAGACTCTCGTCTCCTGGCTCCTGTATCTCTCTCTATGACTGACTGACTGATCTAGTATACAAGAAAGCTAAGCACATGGAGGAGAAATTAGTGGAGCGGAGTCCATGCGTACCTTCTTTTACTCCGCTCCTTGAGGTTGGTCGCCCTGGAAGCGGAAGGAAGGAAGGCCTTTAGGCTTTCTTCTTCTTCTTGAGAAGGAGAAGGCTCTTCTGTTCTGAGAACTGAGATGGTGTTGTGTGAAAGATCACTGCCCAAAGCACGGTTTAAATAGGCTCTGACATGGTGGTTTTCCTGTGTTTTGTTTTTAGAATTCTAATTTTAGAAAAAGGTCCCTACGTAAATTCCACCGGGCTGGTAATTATTATTATTATTATAAGCTTTTGGATAAAAATAACAACTATTCAACTGGAGAAATTGGTGGGAATAGGGAGTGAGTGTGAGAAAGAAAAAATGATGCGTTTATAGCGTCGTTAAATCATGATATACAAACCAAGCTACAGAAGAAGATGACCCATTTTTTTGCGGGAGAATCCGCTGAATGGAGGCTTTACCTCTATGGTTTAAAAATAACTCCCGCGCGTGCTCACAGGAGCTTCACTCGGTGATCGAGCCGTTTCTCATTCTGACATTCGGTAGAGATCCACCTAGAGCCACAGCGGGACCAGAGCTACAAGGGTTAAAAAACCCCCGCCAAAGAGGAGCTATGTCGTATCAACACGTGTTTCGTACAAAACTTATATTTAATTTTGCATGGGAAACCATGCAACGTACTGGTGTCGTGGTCGGAAAATTTTCTCGGACTAATGTAGTAACATATTTCTTTTGCTACATTTACTAATTCCATGTGACGAGAGCACGTGACAAGGATGATCCGTTAGTTGTCGTTATGATGTATCTAGCAGCGGTTTTGCATGATCGAAGCAGAACAGTCTTTGTAATAACTACGCCAGCCATGTTAGCTCTGTGTCCCGCAAAAGTTTCTGAAATTAGCAGAGCATACGTTAGATGCTCTCGTTATAGGATGTGGTATAGGATAAAGACCGTTCATTGATTCGGAGGCATAGGCGCCTGCCTCGTGGGGACATAGTCATGTTCATAATACGTCAGGCATGTTAGCTCTATGTTCCGCAACATTTCCAAAATTGACAGAACATACGTTAAATGCTCTCGTTATAGAGTGTGTATACGACAACGACCGATCATTGAACATTTCCCCTATGGGGACATAGCCGTTACCCTCAATCATCGAGAAGAATTAGTTTTCTCTTATATACGACAATAAGCGGTCAACGTCATTAGAAATATCATTTCTTTTAACGGAAAATGTACATAAAAATGGCACATAATAATTAACACCATTTCTATCACTTGTTATGTTATTTTTTTGGAACACTAGAAATAATTTATATCTCAAAAAAGTTGGACTAACAAGCAGGGTAAACTCTTCTATATGGATATTTTTTTAATTTCCCACTTTTTTACTTTGGTGGTGAGGGTGGACAGGTTAACGACTGAAGAACTTGATTAGTAATAGTCCCATAAGACAAGGGCTTGGATGCAAAAAAAAATACTGGAGGACGGATCCGTTTGCAGGCCGCAGCACACAGCAACACGCGATGAATCAACCCACACCAAACCATGGTAATTAGCTACAGTCTGGTGTAGCTCTAACCATCTTTGTCGTCCTCCAGAGACGCGGTGGCGTTACTCCCTCTCCCTGCATGGCTGCATGCGACGATGCGCATGCCGCTCTAGAGACGCAGCGTCTCTCCATCTCTATCTTTATCTCTGTCTCCCTAGCTCGCCGCGCAGGCAGCGCAGCCCAGGCGGCTGACCACGGTCCACTCTAGCCCCTGAAGACCACACGCCATCTACCGCTAGCGGACACAACGCGGCGTCCATTGTCGCGTCAGTTTGTAGAAGAGGACGGTGGCCAACAAATTAACTCTCGGTGATCATCATCGCGTCCACGCCATCAGCCGGTCTAAGATGATTCGTCTTCTTCTTCTTTCTGTTAGTCTGTTACTGCCCTCTAGTGGTAGCAGTAATAACTCTTCTTTAAGTACTTCCAAAAATTTCTGTTCTTCTGTTAGTGTCTTCTAGTAGTTACTTTTAAATTTCTTCTATAGCTTGGACCCGGTTCACTATACGTTTTGGCCACAACAGCCTCACACAAAGAAAGCAGGCGAAATGCATGAAAAAAGCCAGGCAGTCGCTATGGTTGCTATTCTGTCCAGGACTACTCAAGGTTGTTCATGCCAGTGCATATACGCAGGCATATTCACAAGAAGCACGACGAGTTAGCACTCGATTAGTAGATATCGATAGAATTAATAACAGATATACAATTATGTGTTGATGATATCATCGATAAAAAAAAGAAAAGGTATTCTGTAGGAAGTACATTAATTAGTAATTTCCATCTATAGAAACAGATGTTTTATTATATTAATAGCACCGCCTATATAAGATATGTCCATCTGCAACCAGAGTGTTCGAGTCATACAAACGTATCTTGGAGAAAAGATTTATAAATCAATCTACTACATTTATTGTTATGGCTACTATATGTTGTTGCTACTAGAGATATGGTTGTTTGCAGGCAGGGTATTCAAGTCATACAAACATATCTTGGAGAAAAGATTTATAAACCAATATAATAAAATCTACTACATTTATTTTTTGGGCTGCTAGATAAGTCACTGCCAGTAGAGATAGACATACAGGTCTGCGGCTATAGCTAGATGTAGTGATGTCATAATGTCTCTAAGTTCTATCTATATAAAAATGGCTGGATGTAATTATGTCATAATGTCTCCAAGTTGTATCTATATAAAAATGGCAGTGCAAAAAGAAGTCTTTAAATAAGTGGACTCCTAATATGTTTGTATATGGTTGCAGACCTAGTATATCCAATTCATACAAACTTACACATACTGACATACCTATGGAGACTTCACAAGCCAAACCATATCACTAGTGATAGAACTGCATGGCCTATAGCTAGATTAATGCCATAAATGTCTTTATAAAGGGCTAAAAATATATAGTCCAAAAAACTATATACTTCTTTTTGAACAGAAAAAGATATGCTTAAAACTAAACCAAAACATTTGTATTTCATCTACAATTTATTTTTGCTAATGCTAGAGATACATGTATGGTCTGCTATAGCTAGATCGGCATCAATGCAAAAAAAAAAGAGTCCTATTTTTTCTATAATTCATTACTGATGCTATAGATAGACATACATGGTCTGCTATAGCCAGACTGATATCAAGATATCTTCAAGTGCTACAAAAAAGACAGTGTAAATAAAGGAGGTTTATATATTAGTAGGACTTCTTAGAAAAAGATTCACAAACCAATCTACTACATTTATTTCTGTTGGCTACAATATTTGTTGCCACTAGAGGTAGACATGTGGCATGGTCTTCTAAAGTCGTTGCATATAGAGATAGACATACATGGTCTGTGGCTATAGCTAGATGTAGTGATACCATAATTTCTCCAAGTTCTATATATAAAATGATAATGCAAAAAAATGAGTCTTTTAAATAAGTAGGACTCCTAATATGTTTGTATATGCTTGTAGATCTAATATTATTCAATTCATACAAACTTATACATATCTATAAAGACTTCACAGTCAAACCACTGCATTGATCGTTACAGATAGAAATGTGTGGCCTATAGCTACATTGATGTCATAATGCCTTAAAGTGCTAAAAAAATAGTCCAAAAAACAAATAGTTTTTTTATGGAAAAACTATATACTTATATATCCACAAGAAGCTCAAACGCTAATTAAACCAAAACATTTGTATTTTATCTGTAATTCATTGTTGACGCTAGAGATAGATATAGATGTTCTGCTATATATAGCTAGACTGATATCATGATATCTTCAAGTGCTACAAAAAGACATCATAAAGAAAAATGATGTTTATAAATTTGTAGGTCTCCTAATATTTCTATATGTTTGCAGGCTTAACATTCAATTTGTGCAAAATGATCAATCTGCTCGCAAAAAAAAGAGCAATCTATAAAAACAGAGGTTTATAAAAAAATTTAAAGCACATGTGTTCTACATGTTTATAGGACTTGCAAACACATACTATATCTAGGAGGGTTTATTAAAAACCAAATAACAGCACTTTTTCCCCCCTCTACAATTCATTTTAACACGGCCAGTAGTACTGTGATGATATGATGAATAGT